TAAAAAAATACATTCAATCAATTGCATTGCTATTTTACAATAAAGAAATGATTGATTAAAATATAAAAGTTTTTTTTTAAATAATTAAAAAAAAGAATAAAGCTCAAATTTCATCATACATTACTTTCTTTCGTTCTTTGCTACTTTCTTTTTTTTCTCTTTCTCTCTCACTTCTTTTCTTCTTACATCTTTCCACCTTTTTTTCTCTCCCTCTCTTTCTCTTCTAAACATTTCAATCTTTTGTTCAAACATGATACGATACATATGTTGAAATGTTATAATTTATCCCTTTTAGCATTATTTATCTAATTTCTTGTTTTCTTTTTTTCTTTTTTTCATTTTTCTCCTACTAATTCCTCTCTTTCTTTCTTTCTTTCATTTTATAAAAAAAAAATTAAAACTTGAATTAAAAAATAAAAAACAAAACAAAACAATAATAATTTATATTGTTTGCTTGATTTACATGTTAATTTTACAGTTTCAAACTAAATAGCACCAAATAAACTAATCAATCAATCAATCAACCGATCGATCAATCAACCAATCGATCGATCGATCGATCAATCAATCAATCAATTAACTAAATAAAAATCAATTTATCTGAATGTATGACAAATGGATTTTGTTCAAATACTCTATCAATCAGGTTTATTTTTAATGTGCACCTGTTAACTAACAAAAACTGATGTTCCTTCAGGATTAAAAATTGTTGCCTTCAACAAACAACTGATTATTGTTGTTATGTTTTTCTCTAAAAGTTATTTCTATTGAGGGAATATATATATATATATATATATGTATGTGTGTATGTGTATGTATGTGAATGTATGCCAATGTGAATATGAATGTTGTATGCATGTAGATGTATATGTACGTAGATGTATGTGCACATATTCAAATTTAATCTTGAATGTGAATATGTATGAATGTGTATTTACATGTATGTACATGTATGTGAATATATGTATATGAATGTAGATGTATGTGAATATTCATGTATATATGTATATGTATGTGAATGTATATGTATGTAGATGTATGTGAATATTCATGTATATATGTATATATGTATGTGAATGTATATGTATGTAGATGTATGTGAATGTATATGTAAAATGTAGATGTGTGTGAATATTCATGTATATATGTATCTGAATATATGTAAATGTATATGTACATTTGCATATATCTATATACATGTGATTGTATATATCACCAGCATACATACACATTCAAATTTAATCTTGAATGTGAATATGTATGAATGTGTATTTACATGTATGTGTATGTATGTGAATATATGTGAGTGTATGTGAATGTGTATGTATGCGTATGTATGTGAGTGTATGTGAGTGTGTATGTATGTGTATGTATGTGAGTGTATGTGGTAATACATTATTTTCTCGTAAAAAAAAAAAAAAAATTCCAATATCTTTTCATTTCAAGGATTTTTTTTTATTCTAAATTTTTAAACGAGTAACACATAAGTAAATAAGTAAATAATTACAGTTAAAGTATGAGATAAAACAATCACAAGACAGGTAAGTAAGTAAGTAAATAAGTAAGTAAGTAAGTAAGTAAGTAAGTAAGGAAGCAATTGGAGTCAAATTATGAGGAAACAAATAAATGAGTAAGTAAGTAAAGTCAAAGTATGAAGTAAAATAATAATGGGATAAATAAGTAAGTCAGTAAGTCAGTAAGTAAAGTTAAAGGATGAAGTAAAATAACGATGGAAAGTAATTGCTCCTTTTTTTTTTATTGATAAAACTTTTGTTCTATTTTACAGTTAAGGAAAAGAAAAAAAGTTAAAGAAAAAGAAAGAAATATTTTTACCAAATTTTTATTTAAAATTTTTTTCATTTTTTCATTTTTTTTCCCATTTTGTTATTTCTATTCATTTCAATGAAAAATTTTTTTGATAAACGAAAAAGAAAAAAATGGAACAAAATTTTCCTCTTAAATTAACCTTTATTTTTTCTTTTCTTTTTGAATTTTCGTAATTAATTTTTCTCTTTTTTTCACTCTTTTTTTCTCATGCTATTTCAACTACATTTTTCTTCCTTTTTTTTTTTTCTTTAAAGTAATAAAAGGAGGACGAGAATTTCTTCATATTTTTATGAGTTAAAAGAAAAAAAAAGGGAAGGAATTATTTTTAACAAGACACTTTTAACAACTTCTACTTAATCATATTAAACATTTGAACAACAACAAAACATATCTATCATATACATACATACGGTTACTGGTCCGGAAAAACAGATGGACAACTTGATGGACATATTTATTCATTCATTTATTGATCCTGGTAAAATTTTTTTCCAACCCAAAATTTCAAGTTAACATTTTCCGGAATAATAGGTAATTAGCTATTAGAGATAAGCAAAATAA